CCAGGGTAGTCGCTTACTCGCCGCTTGCAGCAGGGTGGGACTGTAGGACTAGACCAATTGGACAAGAGCGTCCTGCATTTCTGCCAAAAGATGACGTCACCAAAACGCCCTTCGGTGGATTTCGGGTTGATACTGCCAGTAAATACTGGGAAGTACTGGATATTCCAGTATTGAAAGCTGTACTAAAGCGTGCAGTACAGTACAGTACCGAGAGCCGTACTGCCAGTACAGTATATTCCAGTATCGAGAGCTGTACTGGAGAGTGCAGTATTTTTATTCCAGTATTGAAAGCTGTACTAAAGCGTCCAGTACAGTACAGTACCGAGAGCCGTGCTGCCAGTACAGTATATTCCAGTATCGAGAGCTGTACTGGAGAGTGCAGTATTTTTATTCCAGTATCGAAAGCTGTACTAAAGCGTGCAGTATTTTTATTCCAGTATCGAAAGCTGTACTAAAGCGTGCAGTACAGTATATTATGGCCAAAGGTACTGCAATACTGAAAATACTGGCAGTATTGTACTGTACTAAACCTGCCCGTGGAATCTTCCTATCCCCGAAAAAAGAAAAAAAAATTGGACACTCAAAAAAATGAAGGACACGCTGTTCCCCTCGTCAAGGGCCGGAAGAAAAAAGACGAAGTGCTCGACGCACGAGCAGGTCGTGGCGGATTTCTTGTTGTTGTTGTCTTCACATTTAAACCGTTCCGTGCTCTCTCTCTGCCCAGTACCTTCTGTCCGTGCTGTTAGTCGAACACTTTGACGCGGTCGATTCCAGTGGGCACTGGTAAACATAACAGCAAAAAGTATATGAAAACTTGATGGACTCGAACTGGCAAGTCGATAGAAATCAACGACAGATAATGGTAGTCTAGGACCCTGCGTTCGCCTGTACTTGTTATCCGACGTCAACTATAGACTGGAATAAAAGCAAACAAAAAGGAGAACAGAAAAAAAAGCAGAGAAAAGGAGAAAAAGACGGGCAAGATGGAAAAGACATACGCCAGAACCACCGACGCGACAAACACACCAACACAAGACAAGACAACACGAAACGGACCACCAGAGAAACGAAAGGCAAATCAATGCTCGTGGGGGGGTGGTGTAATGGTGTAGTGAACCCGATAATAATAGGAAACTGAAAATTGAAAAATCTTGGAGAGAAGAAGACCAGAGAATGCCGCCGAAGTTTGATGCCGGATTCGGTCCAACACAAAGACAACCAAGCAACCCAAACAAAAGACATATCAGCACGAAATACGGACGAACGGAAGGAAAAACAAACAGAATACGGGAAACCACGAGTAGTTCTCGGGTGTAATTTTTGCCATATGCATATGATCGTTTTTTCTTGCACCCTCGTATTTGTCCACACCTTATGTAAGGCACCGGACTTGCCTCTTCTGTTTTTCTCATCGTGCGCCCCACTCCCAAGCAGCTAGGACAGCAAGGTGCAATCTGCTCCCTTACGAGCCCTCATACCTTTCCTTCGCCATCCAATACAACATATGCCGTAAAAAAAAGGATTACATGCACTGGCAGAGGTCAACACCCCTTCTCCCGCATTCTTCATAACGCTCGCCTACGCTTGAAACGTTGGGCGACAAAGCTTCATCCAGAACGACTCCAAAGCAGAGATACCGGGAAACCACTTCAGAACCCAGCTGCCGCGTGGTGCGCAAGCAAGAACGGAAACAAAATGGGAAACCTGCTCCACCGAGTTGGTCTCAATGCGCCGCCCCCGACATCGACAGTCAATGTATCGCAACCACACATCAAATCTCAACACACGAATTCAATACCGCTAGCAAAACTCGGGAGCTCTAGCCCCCTTCCACGCTTGATGAGCAGGAATGCCTCGTCGGGTGGAGGTGTCGAAACACCTGCAAAAAACGGCCAACGCATTTTCGTTGATCATAGGTCCCATCCACACAGAGATTGGGCCAGCAAAACTGCCCATGCCGTCAAACAGAAATGCATTACAACGACGCAATGATACCTGACATCCAAACACGTACTTGAAGTTTAAGACAGAGGACAATTTCAGGGAGCAGCCCAAGAACCAACCAAACATCCCGATAATGCCGAAAAAGTCCACAATTGAACAGAGCTTACCCCGGCGTTCTTCGTTCTTGCGAAATTTCTGAAATGTAAGAAAAAGAGCGAACGACGCCTGCTGATTGGATGGTGCAGACAGTTCCATCCCCGGGTGCAAATGCAAAGCTGCCTTCCCACTTGAGTCGTCTCTTGCCTATAATCCCCATCAATTGTCCCCTCGATGGTCGAGGGGACATTTGATAGGGCTCATAGACGGCAACTGGCGGGAGCGTGGGAAACAGGGCACGAACACGAGGTTTTCAAGATAATTCTCTAGAGGGAAAGCGAGACCTTGTAACCCAAGCCGTAGGTTGCCCGGTGCCTCCTATCAACGGTGGGCTAGGTACTTCTTCCGCGCTCGCCTCAAGTAGCGCTTTCCACCAAGCACCCTCGGCCATACATCCATTTTCTGCTCGACCAAAATTGAGGGAGCTCTAGACCCAAGCACACGATTGATCCTCCAACCTCAAGCTGGCTGGTGATTCCCGAAGCCGAGTAGTCTCAGCACGCAACTTCACATGTTGATAAACATCCGGTCATGACATGCATACATCATATTCCTGTGTCGTGCGCGTCCATCATCCGGCCAGTAGAAGTAGAGGACGAAACCATCATGATATCGTTGCTGCTCTCGACGGCTCTTCCTGGTCTATGTCCCCCCTGCTTGCTCCCTCCGGCCTCAACGGTGAGATATTCCCGATGTTGTTTTCTTTACATAAAACTCGTGCCAGTTGCTAATCCCATAATCTAGCAAAGACTCAGTCCGCGGTCACAAAACTGCTAGAGCCATCAGAAGATCTGAAGAACACGCACACTACTAGAAAAGGGTACACAAGCCCGAGCACAATCCCTGTAGAACGTTTGCGTGCTCACAGCTGAACTACACGCCCACACACTACAATTCGACTACAGCAGCAGCATCACGCCTCGTGTCCCGTACTCAACCAAAACGAATGTTTGTCGACCACAGCGTACTGCTGTCTGAAGTGCTGTCTGTACAAAAACAACACCATGGTGCATGGTACACAAGCCCGGGGCATGCAGCTGCTGTCTGAAGTGCTGTCAGGATGAGTCCGTGGACATAAAATGAAGCACAACCAACCAACCCAAGCCATCATTGCAATTGACAATCCCCCGAATCTATCCAGATCATCTGTGTTAGGCACAGCAGTGTGAACATCGACACTGACTAGGAACCGTTCCACATTGAAGGGTCGTCCACGATGCCGGTACACAATTAAGGCACCCGGGTTATCCGCGCCATCTCTGTCGCGTCTCTCTACAAAGCCAGTGACGTTATCACACACATCCGACACTATATTCAGGAACAAAACGAAAAAATATTGACAACACAAGAGATGTTTGTCCGTGCGCCACGGTTCGATGCCGTCCGCGTGGAAGGTATCGGTCCCTTGAGGGTGAGTCTAGCCCTGCTCGCTAGAAAGANGCCAGTGACGTTATCACACACATCCGACACTATATTCAGGAACAAAACGAAAAAATATTGACAACACAAGAGATGTTTGTCCGTGCGCCACGGTTCGATGCCGTCCGCGTGGAAGGTATCGGTCCCTTGAGGGTGAGTCTAGCCCTGCTCGCTAGAAAGACCCCTCACCTCGCTATGGGTCATGTCTAAGCAAAGCCTTGCCGAGGCAGCGAGAAGGGTTGGATTTATGTAGCCAAAGGTGGAACGGCATCATCACCCAATGTGGATGCCCATTTCCTGCGTAACAGATCGAAGTGAGAGCGGCCGGGGGTGAGGACACAGCACACAAGCCTCGGCATTAACTTCATTTTTGAAGATGATGCGGCTGTCTGCAACGCGCGCTATGCGATGACTGCGACAACGACAACGCCGCTACGAAGGCTCGAGACGGATGTGGTGAAAAGCAGCCGGCCAACAAGGTTTTGGGAAGCGTTTTCATTCGGCGCGCACACATCGTTCTCCCTGCATGTGAGTGAATGCCATGACACCAAACCAAACGGTGCAAAGGGTGATATTGCCCATACGGGCACACAGCACACAGCATGATCGGGTCATGAGCCACCTCCAGACAAAACGGCATATCTACTTACCTCCTTGCTGGCCAAGTGCGACCATGGAAGAGGGAATTTCCGTTGGAAAGGGCCCCCGTTTGTCTCAGCCGATATGCGTGTCTCGACGAAGACACAAAAGCACGCGAACGACTACCGGCACCCTAACCATCAACTGAAAATCACGGATCACATCACCGGCGCTCTCCGAGGGCATCAAGACGACAAGGACAACACCTCCCCCTGAAACCTCAACTCACATCACAATGAGGCCATTCGAAGTTGTCGTAGACGTAGGGCACCTCGTCCCCATTGGGATCCAGCAGCTGGTACAGTTCCGCGTTGGTGTAGTACTTCTTCGGCGATGACGCCACCCCTCCAGCAACCCGCCCCCCTCTCAAACCAACCCCTCCTGTCTGGTGCTGGTCCCTGCTAGCCCCTCCGTGCCTCACCGTGCCCCCGACCCCCGCAGGGTACGACGCCTCCAAGACCGAATGAGAGGCGTCCCTGGATGATGCAAAGAGGTCGTGCAGCGGCAGGGCGTCGCCCGGGTTGTTTCCGAAGCAGACAGACTCAGAAGGCACCCAGGTGTCGTCGAAGGCGTCGTCCTGCAGCCTGCGAAGTTGCCAAAGCCTTTTACGACGAACGTGGGTCGAAGTGGCAGGGCAGGCAATGGTGATCGGGCGAGAAAGCCAGGGGACGCCGCAGGGGTGAAGCGGGAGTTGGGCCTCGGTTGGGGGATCTTCGGGGCATCAAAACTGTCGAGCAAACAAAACGGTTACGCACCCGCAATTAAAGCTTCTCCATCTCCATGCTACTCGGAGCAGCATCATCACCTGAGGAACGCTCCACTGCAAGCCACAGCCCGTCTGGCTCACCCTGGGCACACACGATAACACTATGCGTGGATGCCATTTTTCCAAGCGGCGTCGGGTTTCAGCCGTGCTGGCGAAGCGCAAGTTTGGCCATCAGCAACTGGCAGTGAGGGATGGGCCCGCCTCCAGCCCAACCCCACCAAACACAACGTTGTCAAAGCCTTAATCATATCCCACACCTTACGGCACAGTTTCAACCCACAACCACACATTCTTGAGCTTACCTCTCAATGGTGGGGTGAATGACCCAGAAAATGGGGTCTATGGTGCTGGTCGCCTCGTAGGATGTTCCTTCCACGGAAGGGGTGCACATGACGCGAAGCGCTTCGTGGAAGATGTCCTCGGACTCTTGTGCCGTGTAGCCCGCGAGGGTGTCCTTTCGGTGGTGGAGGTGCGAGAGAGGCGAAAGCAGAGTGAGCGACCAGTCACTTCTTCAGCAATGCGACCGTCGGCGATTTCTCCTCACCACCTGCTTCGCCGGTGACATGCTCAACCTCTCTCGGCCACCGAGAGAACAGCAGCGGAGACTCTTTCTACCTTGCTGCGTCCGACCGCTGCACCGTAAACAACACCCGCACCTTCCCCGCGTCCGCCGCGGGGCTAGACCGACCACCCGAAACTACTCTGCTCGCACGCTTCCGACGCGCGGGCTTGAGACTGTCATGGGTTGACACATACCACATGATAACCTGGTGTGTGTACCGTGGCTACGCGACTGACTCTCTGGTGCTGGTAACATAGATTCGTGTCTCTCACCTCTTGTGTAGCTTCAAGATTTTCAATCAGCTCGAGGTGTTTGTCGTAGAAAAACGACGATCCGGACAGCAGCCCCGCATCTTTCAGCACCTGTGGCGACGGACGAAAAAAGAATCGCGAAAAACCGGGGTATGGGGGAAAGGGAGATGTGGCGGATTAGCGGATGGTACTATAGGAGGTATAATTGGCGTCCGTTAGAAAGGGGCAGGGAACATCCAGGGCCGACACGTCCAAAGAGAGTCCCAGGCAGTCCGTGACGTGGGAAGTGAGGAGTGGGTTGGCCGGACATGTGCGAGACGCGAGGAAACGAAGCACTCTTCGAGAAATCGCCTGACGTCAAGAACACCTTGAACGACAATGCAGGGGTGCCCGACTTTGGGGACCTGTCACAATATGACTCTCCCATGTAGCTGAAAGGTGAGCTACACTGCTGTGCGCACTGCTCCCCCTCGTCCTCCGTGTGTCGCCGTACTGTAGGTTGCGCCGCATCTACAGTGCATGTACGTACCGAAACGACATGGGTTGGGTGCGCGCATTGAGTGCCAAAATCTTTTCCCCCGTGCCACTTCTAGCGGTTTCCCGGTCCTTTCCTACAGCGCACGGTGACGCTGATACACTTGCCGGTGCATCTGGTCCCAAACGGTACCCGTCAAGGGGTGCTGCTCCGTCACGAGTCCCAGCACCTGTTTTGCCATCCGCTTCCTCCAACGACCAGTTGCGGTCGGTGCACCTACCTCGAGCGGGCTTTTCCCGGACAATGCGGTGGCGTCGCACGAGCACTGGCACTCCACCCAGGGGACATCGTAGGAACACGACTTTGGGCAGACCAAGTAGTCCGCTCTCCACAATTCCTTGGCGTATATCTGTGGGGGAAAGCAACATGCTTCACGTTTGACCGTGGCTGACCGGAGGCGGGAGGCGGAGGGAAGCCATGACGCGACGAACCGTTTGGCATCTTCTCCCTGGCTGATTGGTGTGCCCTCCCTCACTTGTACCGTACATCGAGCCAATGCAACTGTTTTCGTAGCTTCTATTGCAACATTGCACCCCCCTATCCGGCACCCTGGGTTGCTATCATCTTCTTGCCCAACAGGCACTGCTATTCTTTACCAAAACGTCTTGCACGGCGGCAGGGGTGTCATGTTGGCTTGCCTGAACCTCGTGCAGGAAAGGGAGGACCAGTTCCGTGGTCCTCTTCGCGACGACGCCGGCCTCCATGGACCACGCCCCCCCCACGATCTCGTGGATGTGGCCGTGGGCGCTGGACTTCAGGGCCGACGACAAGGACATCCTGCGAATCGGGCGAAGATAATCGAAATACCAACAGGGAGGTCGCTGCTCGTCGGCGACAGAAAAGTACGGGCCCGCATACATCAAACGTCAAATCACGTCGAGGCTCAGCCTCTTGCTTCATCGCCACTATGCACATCTGTTGCCAGGACAGGTTGTCATCGAGAGTGCAGTGGACGGATCCATCGCGCAATCTTGTTTCTCAGCCCATGTGTTCTATTTTTCGTAGAAAATGAAAAAATGGGCGTCTGTTTCTTGACAGTAAGATAATGTCGAAACCATGGAACCGCGAAGGACTTCTGCGGATGAGAACGGATTGCCTGCAGAGAAGTCTTGGAGCGAGCACCCACTCGTGACAAGCCTTCCCATCCCGAACGAGGAAGTACGGAAGTACGGTAGGAAGAACAGCATACTGCCATGCAGCTGACCGAAGCTCAGCTGGCCGCGGCCACGGCCGTGGACTCGGGGAAGGCGGTGAAGGAGTTCGTTTCTACGACAGCAGCGCCACGCTAGGCTCGTTGCCGACACTTGCCCTCTGGCGAGCGTGCCACCACGATGGTGCCTCTATCGAGGACATGGGCCGCGCCGGACTGTTCGCCATGGCCCTTCCTCTGATAACCGCGCTGGGCGTCGCTACATCCGCGGAGGTAACGGACGTTTTTCGCAGCGCGGAAGCTCAGGAAAATGGGGCGACGGGCTCGCTGGCGGCCAAGCAGGTGATCGGGGCCCGGGTGTTCATGGAGAGATTGTCGATTTGCTGCGTGAACATGAGAAGGAGACGGCGGGATGTCTTGTGCTACCAGCCGCGCCCTCGTCAGGCAAGGCACCCGCGCGGGGCGTGGGATCGACCGCACCGGCGCCGACGCCAGCTCCAGCACCGGCACCCGCCGCGTCTGCCACGGCCACAGCACCAGCTCTACCGACAGCGGGAGCGGCTGCTGCACCCGCCCCTGCAGCCGCTTCTGCGGACAAACCCGGACCCGTATCAGCGGCGGCTGCGGCCGCTGCAGCAGCCTCTGCCTCGATCTCTACGACGGCGCAACAGCAGAAACCCGCGAATCACAAGGTAATGCTGGCGGCGGACGCGGAATACATGACTCTCATCAAATCGTCACACGGCAATCCGGAGGTGAGCGCAAGCGCTGATGACCACACTCGGAAATGTACTTTGCGATTGCTCTCGGAAAATTTTGAGCACCGTTCTTTCGCCGCTCGCAATTGCACCTGATTTTGTGTCACAACAACTCGGAAATTAACTGTGAAGGGAAGCACGTCCCTTGTCGCTCGGAATTGCACACGTATTACTGCGGGATCGTTCTGAGCACCGTTCTATGCCGCTTGCAATTGCACATGATTTCGTGTCACAGTTCGCAATTTAATTGTGGAGGGAAACACGTCCCTTGTCGCTCGAAAGTGCACACGATTTCGTTTCGTAATAACTCGGAAATTTTGAAGCAGGGGTATGCATCCCATTGATTCGTTCCGTGTCAATGTTCCAAGGAAAACAATAGGCATGTCCTCCATCGGCCGTTTTGCTTGTATGACGGAGAATAAGAAGGTGGAATTACTTGAAATTAGTGTAGAAATAAAGTTTGTGTATCTAAATCGAAGATAAAACGGCCGATGGAGGACAGGTCTAGAAAACAAGTATGTATTTCGCCCGCACCTGGTCACGTGACTAGTCGGGAACAGTTTAACGTACAGCACATTATTTACGTACATATACCACGACCGTGTCGTCCCTTGATACGACCAGTGGGCGGGCCCCTGCGTCGCAAATCAGTGAAACTGTGACGGGAAGCACGTCCCTCGTCGCTCGAAATTGCACACGATTTTATTTCGTAATAGACGGATGTTTGGCGAAAGAAAAAGAATGGTCACTTACGTGCTGGGCCGCCGTGCCCACTGCTTAGAGGAGTGCCGGCGAAATGTACGATTCAATCCCGATTTGCGAGTCCATCACGAATGGTTGGGATGCATTGCGCGATTACGATCAACGGTGGGGATGCGTGCGCGTTCGGCCATCCCTCGAAACGACGAACAGTTGGGATGCGTTGCGCGTTTATGAACAACGGTTGGGATGCGTGCGCGTTAAGCCATCCTCCGAAACGACGAAGTCAGCGCGATATCACGCCTCGTTCCTCATTACGAAGGGCACCACGGCCAGTGTGTTGAGACATTGCCGCATTGTGCCCAGGATCAAATCTCTTACGCAACATCAGGTTATTTACGGTTTGCGTGTTTATTGCGAATTGTTGGGATGCGTGCGTGTTAGGCCATCCCTTGAAACGACGCAGCCACCGCAGTATCAAGCCTCGTCCCTCATTTCGAATGGCAATCGGCCAGTTTACTGAGGTATTGCCGCATTTTGGGCACGAACAGATATCTCACGAATATGACGCTTATTTACAGTTTGCGCGTTTATTGCGAATGATTGGTATGCATGTGCGTTAGGCCATCCCTCGAAACGACGAAGTCCCCGTGGACACGAACACTGCGGTATCAAGTCTCTCGCTCCTCACGCACACGGTTTCTGGCTCACCCTGAGATGGCTGCCATCGGCGGACAACGCAGTCGCTGATAACATTTCGTGGCCGGGGAGGCAAGAGATCGTCTGTCTCCGACCGGCGGCGTTTGAGAGGTTGCGCCAGTGTTTTGGCGACGTCACAATAGACCTTATGGCGTCTTTCGAGAACGCCCAACGTAGCGTGGAGCTTGACATAAGGGCAAAGTGCCGACTACCGTTTTTCTCGCGTTACTCGTGCGAAGGAACGGCGGGTGTAGACGTTTTGCGTCAGGAGGTGGCGGTTACACCGGGGTTGGGGACGCCGGCATTTGGGTACTGTTTCCCACCCCCGGTCATGGTGAGTCATGTTGTCCAGCATCTCGCCGATACCGGGCCCACGCCGTAGTCGTGATACCGGATGTGCACGAGTATTGGCTACCGCGAGTTGGGCGAGCTACTGTCAAATCGCTCTTGTTGCCGAGACGGGGGAGTTTCGGATACCCTCACCATCAAAACTGTATGCGCGAATACGTCTACATTAGATACGGAATGCGAGCGGTAGAATAGGACTTTCGTCACTGATGAAACCATATCGTATGATAATTGACAGGTGTTGATTCCTTGTCATCGTTCGTTTCGTCCGAATGACATCAGCATTACGACCAGGGGACGTTTGAGCACATTCCCCCCGGGGCCACGCGCGCGCCGGACCGGGTACCACAAGTCTTGTGTAGTGCGTGTGGGTCACAAAACGAAGCGACGTACAACGTTTGTCAACATTGCGGGGTACAGCCATTTCGGGGGCGTTTAGAGCCGCGTGTTCCCGGGGCCACCGTGGTCATTGATGCCGATCGACTGGCGGCACGCAAAGAAGCCTTCCAGGTCGCCTCCGCGACTGCAGCCGGGCAACGCCGGACTTCCGCCATGGCGGATAAGTTCGACGCGTTTCTGAGAGCGCACACAGAAGGGCGTCGGGGGTGGGAGAATGCCACCGACGCGGACGTACTTGACTGGTTGTCCTGGTTGGATTCTCACGGTAACGGCACAAGGGTAGTTCATGCTGTCAACTGTGTCGCGATCGGGTCAAATTCGTTGGAGTTCCGTAGTCCGGAAAATGCGTGTGCGAAGAGATATCCGGCCCAAACATCGGACAAGGATTCGTCGCGAAACTCAAGAGAGCCAAGGTCGAGATATTAGGAAAGTCTGATCCGTGGGACGACAGGGACAAGCGAGGTAATGCGGCCGATAGCGCGGCGGTTCGTCGGTACCTCTCGTACGCTCAAACCGAACAGCGCCGGGCGGGAGTTACTGTCAAACAAGCCAGGCTCATGTTGACCCCGCTCCTTTTGCGCCTAGTGCGGCACATGCGCAACACCGCAGACCAGCTACACGCCGTAGGTGAGCGAGTGGCTTGCAGTAGAGACGTCGCGGCGTTTGTAGTCGCCTTCCACACGATGCAGCGGGGATTCGATATGGCATGCGCATTAGCAGCACAGGTGTTGCGCCTCCCAGAAGGCCAAGGAATGATTTGTAACCTTCACTTTGACAAGACGCTCCGCAGTGCGTCAAACGCAGTCATTGCTTAAAGGGATGCGAAGTATAACGAACTGTGTCCAGGAAGAGCGGTACAAGAGTTTTTCATTGTCGCGACGTCCGTGGGTTGGAATATGCCCGAGGGGTACCTGTTTCCCGAGATTCAGGGAGATGGCTCGAGGGGGACGTCACAGTGGACCGCAGCTCCAATGACAGCGGCTCTGCAAAGTCACATGCGGGAAGGCCGTTTCAACGACCACCACGGCTTGTATGTTATGCACTCCTTTACGGTAAGAGGAGCCGTTTGCCAGTCCCTCGCGGCCTCGCGGGGACGGCCGTAGCAGCCCTTGTGGAGCTAGTGGGGGGGAAGACGAGAAGGGCAGCCCAGCGGTACGTAGGCCCCATGATACACGGGGGGGCCTCCTCCGCTAAGCGCCCGCGAGATCCGGACCGGAGGGAGCAGGAGCAGAGGTATATCCAAGCGGTGGATTCGCCCATGCAGGAAGGCTTCGCGGAGACGTTTCCGTTCGGGATTTAGACTACTGACTTCGAAACTCGATTTACTAGTATTTACGGAAGTTTGGGATAAAATATCAGACATCAGGCACCGAGACAGCATGAATAGCCGAAAGGTGAAGTATGGGTGGATCCCGTGCCGTAGCCGGAGGCCTCATTTCATCCCAAACTCTGCATCGTTGACAACTATCCCGCAGTATAATAATGTCGAAATCATGGAACCGCGAAGGGGTTCTGCAGATGAGAACAGATTGCCTGCAGAGAAGTTTTGGAGCGAGCACCTACTCGTGACAAGCAGTCCCAACCCTAACGGGGGGAGGGTACGGTAGGAAGAACAGCCGCCCCCGCCCAACCAACTATGCTAGGTATTTGATTAGACTGGGGATAGTATTCTAAGCCACTACCGCGTGGACGACACAGAGGGCGTCAACGCGGAGGTAGTAATGCTGGCCGGAGTCTCCGGGCTCTCCGTAGCCGGAGGCCTCATTTCATCACAAACTCTATATCGTTGACAGCTATCCCGCAGTATCTTGCCTACAGCAACTGCGGGCCCGTGCTGTAGTGTTTGTGGCGCGAAACACATCACGGCCCCCCCGTTGGGTCTCGTTTTGGGTGCAGCGGGTGATATTCGACAAAGGCCGAAAGAGAAAGCACGTTGGCTACGGACCTTGTATCATCGACAAGTACGAGGTGTAAGAGAGGCGAGATTGGTCCCGGGCTTCATGCCCAGCAACACATGTTATCATCCGCGAACCCCCCCCCCGCCTCTCCCAGAGGACCCTATAAACAGTACCCTGCCGAGCGCCCCAAAGCATGAAGTACCGCTCTCTCTCTCTATCTCTCTCTCTCTCTCTCTCGTCGTCTGCCCCCTCTCACCAGTCATCGTGATCAAACGCATCCCTGTACTGCTTGCACCCGGCCGGCTTGCGGTTGTTCTGGTACCCGAACAGGCCGTCGTACCGTGTCATGAAGGGCGTCGAGTCGCTGTTCCACTCGGATCGGAGCATCCCGTAAGCGTTAAAGATTCTCGAGTACTCAGTAACGTTCGTCGCCACCGGGACGAAGCCGAATCGTCCCCTGTCGGGTACGCGAGCCCCCTGCCGCGAGCAGAGAAGTAATTGGGGTGGCGGAAAGGGCGTTTCGAGAAGATGTTTGGGGTGTGCACACTAGTTTTAGACGCGGGTAGACTTGTAGAGGTGAAGCGTAGTGTGGAACTACGGGGACGGAGGACGAGGGAAGAGCGTTCATGGACAAGGCGTGAAGGCTGCAGGCTAACACGTGATCGGTCGGACGGGAGACGAAAAACCTCGCGATGACAAGGAAAAGAACAGCTCCGGCCGGGAGCATGTTTCTTCAAGCGCCACACGGGCCGTACCCCGGTCCATGGTTTGCGGTTACATGCGCTTCGGCTCCTGGCCTTCGAAGTCGGCCTCGTAGCTCACCACAAAGAGAGGAAGCCTGATTGATTCCTTGTCTTGAGGCGATCAGGTTGGAAGATGCACGCAAAACTGGATACCAGAACAAGAACGTCCCATGGCTCGTGAATTTCCCGAGAAAAAAATCCTACAATTTAACCTTTTTTTGCGCCCGACATAAATTGTTTCACTGCTGCAGCAGGTTTCGAACAACAAGAGACGGAACGTCTGACTTCAAAAGAAAATCGAGTGGCACGTAGTCTCCGAAATCCCCCCTCCCCCCTGGGGTTTTCGTCGCTTGGCAACGACGTTGTAAAACAAGCCAATTCACTTCGTGA